TTAAGCTCCTTGTTGATTCTGGATATTAAACCTTCGTTGGATACACAGTTCACAAATATTTTCTCCCATTCTGTAGGTTATCTGTTTACTCTGTTGATAGTTTATTTTCCCGTGCAAAAGAAGATTTAAGTCTTTAATCCATCTTGAGTTAATTTTTGTATATGGTGAGAAATACAGGTCCAGCTTCATACTTCTACATGTGGCCATCCAATTTTCCTAGCATCATTTATTGAAGAGGGTAACATTTCCCCAATGTAAGTTCTTGTCAGCTTTGTTGAAGATCAATTGGCTATAAACATATTGCTTTATTTCTGGGTTCTCTATTCCGTTCCACTGGTCTGTGTTTTCACAACAAAATAATGCAGTTTGGGTTACTACAGACTTGTAATATATTTTGAAGTCAGGTAATGTGATGCCTCCAGCTTTGTTTTTAGGTCAGGATTGCATTGGCTATTCAGGCTCTTTTTTTGTTTCATATACATTTTACGTTTTTTTTTCCTAATTCTGTGAAAAAGTGACATTGGCATTTTGATAGAGATTATGTTGAATGTATACATTCCTTTGGGCAAAATGATCATTTTAACAATATTAATTCTTCTGATCCAGGAGCATAGGATATTTTTCCATTTGTTTGTGTCATCTGCATTTCTCTCATACGTGTTTAATAGGTTTCATTGCAGAATATTTCTTCCTTGGTTAAATTCATTCCTACGTATTTTACTTATTTTACTTAATGTAAATGAAATTGCTTTCTTGATTTCTTTCTTGGTTAGATCATTATTGGTGTATAGAAAGGCTACTGATTTTTGTACATTGATTTTTTTATCCTGCAATTTCACTGAATTCATTGTTTAAGTTTCTCTAGATAGATATATCAGTAAAGAGGGGCATTTTGACTTCTTCTTTTCCCATTTGGATGCCTTTTTTATTTTTCACTTCCTTGGTTGCTCTTACTAGGACCTCCAGTACTATGTTGAATAGGAATGGTGGAAGGGAGCATCGTTGTCTTGTTCCAGTTTTTAGAGGAAACAATTTCAGCTTTTCTTCATTGAATATGGTGTTTGCAGTGGATTTGAAGTACATGGGCCTTTATTATGTTAAGGTATGTTCCTTCTAAGCCTAGTTTGTTGAGAGTTTCAATCAAGAAGGGGTGTTAAATTTTAGCAAATGCCCTCTCTGCATCTATTGAGATGATCATATTGTTTCATCCTTCATTCTGTTGATGTAATGTATCACATTTGTTGATTTGCATAGGTTGTGCCTTCCTTGCATTGTTGCCATAAATCCCAATGGACCATGAGTATTATATTTTTGATATATTGTTGAATTTGTTTGCTAGTATTTTATTAATTGCTTTTCAATCTATGTTCACCAGGGATATTTCCCTGCGGTTTTCTTTTTTGGTTGAGTCCCCCCTGTGTGATTTTCATATCAGGGTGATTCTGGCATCATAGAATGAATTAGGGAGAATTTCCTACCCTTGGATTTTCTGGAATAGCTTCAGGAGGATTGGTATTTTTTCTTTCTTGTATGATTGTTAGAATTTGGCTGTGAATTCATCTGGTCCTTGCTTTTCTTTAGCAAGAATTTTTATTACTGATTCAATCTCACTACTCATTACTGGTCTGTTCAGGTTTTCTATTTCTTCCTGATTCAATCTCGGTAAGTTGTATGTTCCCAGGAATTTATCCATTTCCTCTAGGTTTTCCAGTGTGTCAGCATAGTTGTCCATAATAATCTTTGATGATCTTGTGTATTTTTGTGATATATGTTGTAACGTCTTTTTTTTTTTTTTTCATTTCTGATTTTATTTGGGTCTTTTCTCAGTTAGACTAGCTAGCAGTTTACCAATTTTGTGTATCTGTTCAAAGAAGTAACTTTACATTTTGTTCATCCCTTATATTTGTTTTTGTAATCTCTATTTCATTTAATTCTGCTCTGATCTTTGCTATTTTTTTTTTCGTCTGCTAATTTTGGATTTGGTTTGTTCTTGCTTTTCTAACTTCTTGAGTTGCATTGTTAGATTGTTAATTTTTTATTTTTCTACGTAGGCATTTATTGCTATAAACTTCTCTCGTAGCGCTATTTTTGCTGAATATATGTGTTGTGCTTCCATTTTCACTTCAAAAAATTTTTTAATTTCTATCGTAATTTCTTCATTGACCCAGTGGTCATTCAGGAGCATGTTATTTAATTTCCATGTATTTTCAGAGTTTCCAATCTTCTTCTTTGTATTAATTTCTAGTTTTATTCCATCATATTCTGAAAAGAAAAATGATATTATTTCAATTTTTTAAATTTGTTAAGACTGATGTTGTGGCCGAACACACGCTCTATCCTGGAGAATGTTTCATCTGCTAATGAAAAGGATGCATATCCTGCAGTCGTTGGGTAGAATGTTCTGTAAATGTCTGTTAGGTTTATTGGGTCTAAAGCCCAATTTAAATCCAATGTTTCTTTGATTTTATGTCTAGATGATCTGTCTAAATGCTGAGAATGGAGTGTTGAAACACCCACTTTGATTGTATTGTCATGTATTCCTCTCTTTAGAATATTTGCTTTATGAATCTGGATGCCTCAGTATGGAGTTCATATATGCTTGGAGTTGTTATATCTTCTTGCTGGATTGTTCCATTTATCATTATATAATGAACTTCATCTTTTTTTTTTTTAACTGTTCTTGACATAAACTCTCTTTTATCTGATGTAGGTATAGTTGCTCTTGCTCACTACTGTTTCCCATATGAATGGAGTATCTTTTTCCATCGCTTTAAGTCTATATGTGTCTTTACTGTTAGGGTGAGTTTCTTATATGTAGCATATAGTAGCATCATGGTTTTTTTTTTTTTTAATCCATTTGGCCATTTAATATATTTTCAGTGGAAAACATAATCCATTTATATTCAAGGTTATTATTGATATGTGAAACTCTGTTTCTGTAATTTTGTTAATTGTTTTCTGGTTATTTTACATATTCTTTATTTCTTTTTCCCTTTTTAATTGTTTTTGAGGTTTCGTGGATTGCTATAGTGTTACCATTTGAGTCCTTTCTTTTCCTTCTTTGATTGACTGGTTTATCTGTGAGTGTTATACTTTCATGATCTTAAATATTGTCCTTTTCCTTCCAAGTTTAGGACTTGAGCATTTCTTGTAGGGCCAGTCTAGTCATAATGAATTCCCTCAGCATTTGTTTGTCTGTGAAAGATTTTTTATTTCTTCTTCATTGATGAAGGATAATTTTGAGGAATGTAATATTCTTGGCTGACAGGTTTTTTCTTTTAGCACTTTGAATATATTTATCCCCATTATCTTCTGGCCTGTAAGGTTTCTGCTGAGCAATCCACTGTTAGTTTGATAGGGTTTCATTCAGAAGTAACTAAGCACTTTTCTCTTACTGTTTTCAGGATTTGCTCTTTATCTTTGACTTTAGACATTCTGACTATATTGTGCCATGGAAAATACTTCTTTGCATAATATCGACCTAATGATCACTGAGCCTCCTGTACCTGAATGTGTAAATCTCTCTCTGGACTTTGGAAGTTTTCACCTACTATTTAAACAGGTGTTCTATTCCTTTTTTGTCTCTTCGCCTTTAGGACTAACAATAATTTTAAGATTTGATAAAATTTATATTGTCTCAAATGAAACAAAACTTTGTTCATTCTTTTTAAAATTCTTCTTTATTTCTACCTGACTGGATTATTTTAAAAAAACTGACTTCATGTTTTGAGATTCTTTTTTCTGCCTAGTCTATTTTTGAAGCATTCAAATATATTTTATATTTCTGTCAATGAGTTCTTCAGTTTCAAAATTTCTATTTGGTTCTTTTTAAAAATACTTACCTCTTTAGTAACATTGTTCATTCTTATCCTGAACTGTTTGCCTGATTTCTTTGTATTGTTTTTCAGAATTATCTTATATCTCACCCAGCTTCTTTAAAATCAATATTTTTAATTCTTTCTCTGGGATTTCAGAAGTGACTTTTTGATTAAGATCTATCGTTGTAGAATTTTTGTGTTCCTTTGCAAGTGTCATATTTCCTTGCTTTTTCAGGTTTCTTGTGTCCTTGTGTTGGTAACTGCATCTGGTGTAACAGTCATTTCTTCCTATTTTTTAACTTACTTTCATAGGGAAGGATATTTTTTCTGAAGATATATCTATGATGTTGGCTATGTATGGGTACTTTGACTGATTCTGTGCGTAGTAGTGTAGCCTCTGTGTGATTTCTTTAGCTGTAAACATCATTAGTGGTGTTGAGTTTCCTTGGTGTGTTAGGCTATGGTTATTAGTGAAGGCTGTGGTGAACTTGTGCCGGGGACTGGAATAACAGGTGAGCTAGTCTGAATGCTGCGGTGGTGGTATCAGTGGGCTGAGCATGCATATCTTTGTGCCCCAGGGAATTTTACACCAGCCCTGGTGTTGGAAGTTACCAGTGGGTTATTTCTTAGGCCTCCAGGTGTCTTGCTTGGATGCTGATAGTGCCAGCAGTGGACCAGGTAGGTGAGCAGGTTCTTCAGCCCCTGGGCAGCTTGAATGGTGTGGGTGATGGCAGTAACAGTGGAAGGACAATTCTCTCGGTCCTGAACAGTGTGCACTGATGTTGCTGGTAGCTGCAACAGGGTGGATAGGTCAATGTCCAAGTCCATATGTGGTGCTTGCAGGCAGGTACCAGCTGAAGTGGTAGTGGTTGGGAGTTTAGGCACAACCTCAGGCACCCAGGAGAATTGGAGCCCACTGTGGTGTATTGGATTAGACAATCCCCCATGACCTCAGGCTATGTGCTTTCTCTCAGAGCAGGAGTGAAACTGGGCTCTGCAGGCTTGTGCTCAGGACCCCAATGGTGTGTGCAGGCACCAACTCTGTTAGGTAGGGATGGGGTGATCTTCCATCTCCAGGTGGAGTATTCAGATGAGGGGTGGTAGCAGCCATGCTGAAACCCTGCCACTGCAAAAGGTAGAGCTGTCCTTGGTGGCCTCAGCTTGGGCTGGTGGGTAGGCAACATGCATACCTTTTATTCTCCAGTCCAGGTGGGTCTCACTTACCAGCCTTGTTGGTGGTAGCCTATGCCTAGTTCCTGTCCACATTCCAGCTGCAGGACCTCCATCCAGTTGCTGACCAAGTCCCAGTGGTAACTCCTGCCCAACTTGCATCACAGTCTTAGTCCAAGCAGCACTCCCTTTCCAGCACCAGCAGCTGAAGCCCAAACCTCACTCACTTCATAGTCCCAACTGTGGGAGCACTCCCAGCTGACTCCTCAGTCCCAGCAGTGACAACTGCTTTCCATAATGCTTCAGTCCCCACATGCAGTCTCAACTGCCTACAGTTTAGAAATGTAATCAATTAGATCTCATAAACAGTGTTGGACACAGCGCAAGATCCCTTCCTGAAGCACTTCCATCCCACAGTCTTCTAGCAGCTCCTTATATCAGTTTTAGAGGTTGGGAGGATTTAGGGGTTCTCCTATTGCCAGGACTGCATGATTCCACAGTATGGATATAGGCCACTGGAAATCTCATATTCACCCCTCTTTCCTCATGTTGGGAAGTCACTCCTGGCTCCCACTGGATCCCAGCCAGCCAGGCTGCCCTTCTTCCTTCTCTTTCTCTGCTTTTGCTGTTTCCTGTTACTTCTCTGTTGAGTTTCAGTATTCTGTCTTGGATAATGTATTCAAAGTGTGACTGTCTGTACACTATTTTGGTTCTTAGAGGAGGAGGCAGGCATGAAATGCGTCTAGTCAGCATCTTGAAGCCTCTCCTTCAACCTATAATTTTTCAACTAGTGAAAATATTCTTCAGGAAAAGTTCAAAATAAGGGCATTTTTAGACCAGCAAAAACTGAGAATGTGTGCTCCCAGCAGAACCTCACTAAAGAAAATCAAATGGATGGTTTAAAATACTAAAAAGAATGAAGAACAAAAAAAGTAGTAAAGTTGTAGGTGAATTTAAATAAATACTAACTACATAACACAATTATTAAAACAGCTCTGGCATTTAAAATATAAAATTAAAAGAAATACACATTGGTAATATAATACAAGCGAGATAGGGTAAAAGAGGTTAAAGCATTCTTAAGGTCTTTGTAACTGTGTAGAAAACTGGTAGGGATATTGCTTCCTTTGGACTTTGATACACATACAACCTAGAAATTGTTGTTTCCAGGGCAAACTTTTAAAAATATAAATAGGGTATTATTCCCAAAGTAGTTCAGGAGCACAATACTTAATACATCCAAAAGAAGATGAAAGAGAAACAGGCAAAGAAAGTGATATCTTAAAATGCAGGATAAATAAAACAAATATATCAGTAATTACATTAAGTGTGATTAAATGTAAATCAACACAACATGAGACAAATTTGGAATAAGGTACATTATAAAAAACAACAAGCACAGACTCTTCAAAAAGTCAATGCCAGCTGGGTGTGGTGACTCATTCCTGTAATCCCAGCACTTTGGAAGGCCAAGATAGGAGGACCACTTGAGCCCAGGAGTTCGCATCCAGACTGGGACAGAAAATGAGACCACTATCTCTACAAAAAAAAAATGTTTTTCTTAAATAAAAATTAACCAGGCATGGTGACATGCAGCTGTAGCCCTAGCTACTCAGGAAACTGAGTGGGGAGGATCACTTGAGTCCATGAGATTAAGGCTATAGTGAGCCATTATTATTCCACTGCACTCCAGCATGTGCAATAAAGCAAGACCCTGTCAAAAAAGAAGAAGAGGAAGAGGAAGAAGAAAGAAGAAGAAGAAGAAGAAGGAGGAGGAGGAGGAGGAGGAAAGGAAGAAAGAAAGAAAGAAAGAAAGAAAGAAAGAAAGAAAGAAAGAAAGAAAGAAAGAAAGAAAAGGAAAGACAAGAAGGAAAGAAAGAAAAAGAAGGAAGGAAGGAAGGAAGGAAGGAAGGAAGGAAGGAAGGAAGGAAGGAAGGAAAGAAGGAAGGAAAGAAAAGAGAAAGAGAGAGAAAGAAAGAGAGAAAGGAATAAATTATAAAACAAACAGGAAGCTAGAGTGAATATACTAATAACAGACAAAATATATTCTAAAACAAAAAATGACTAGAGATAGAGAGAGGCATTTTATAATGATAAAAGGGTCAATTCTACAGGAAGTCATGTCAATTATAAACACAGACACATCTGACAACAGAACCCCAAGACACATGAAACAAAACCTGGCCGAACTGAAGAAACAGAAAATCCAAAAAATAGTTGGGGACTTCAATATTCCACTTTTAATAATGAGTAGAACAGTGAGACACAAGATCAACAAGGAAATAGAAGACTTGAATAACACTATAAAACAATTAGACATAACAGATTCAACATTCTGCCCAATAACAGTAGAATATACCTTTTTCTCAAGAATGCACAGAACATTCTCCAGGATAGATCATATGCTAGGCCATAAAACAAACATCAATAAACTTAAAGTATTGCAGTCACACAAGGCATGTTTTCCAACCACAATGGAATAAATTAGAAATCAATAACAAGAAGAAACAGGATATTAACAAGTATGCAGAAAAGAAATAATTCACCTTTAATTAACCTATAGGTCAAAGAAGAAATCACAAGGTATATTAGAAATATTGTGAGGTGAGTGAAAATAAAACCACTATACCAAACATATAGGACTCATTTAAAGCAGTGATTAGAGATAAATTTGGAACAGTAACTGCCTATATCAAAAAAAGATGCCAAATCATAAACTAACATTTCAATTTAAGACATTAGAAAAAGAGAGTGAAGTAACGCTAAAACAATGAGAAAGAAGGAAATAGTAAAGATTTGAGCTGAAATTAATGAAATGAACAATAGAAAATGAATAGAGAAAACCAACAAAATCAAAAGTTCGTTCTCAGAAAAGCTCAAAAAAATTGACAAATGGGTGGGCGGGGGCGGTAGCAGCGACCCCCTGGGCCCCAGCTTGTGCCTTCTCCCCACACAGCCAGGCCTACTTCGCTTTGATGTCTACCAACAGTCACCTAGAAGTATGGGAGATGGCCAACAATTGGCTACATCAGGAGTACGTGCCTTCCGCGCACCTCAGCGGTACCTGCACCTGTCTGGCCTGGGCGCCAGAGTGGTTGCAGGCCAAGGAAAGTCCCCAGAGAAAAAAAAGGAATCAGAAGCTGTAGGAACAAGTAACCAGACTGACTTACTGGCTTTTGGCACAGCAGTTGGTAGCATTTTATTATACAGCACAATTAAGGGAGAATTACACAGTAAATTAGTAAGTGGTAGACATGACAGCAGAGTCAACTGCATACAGTGGCATCAAGACAGTGGCTATTTATGTAGTTGTTCAGATGATAAACATATTGTGGAATGGAACGTACAGATGTGCAAAGTAAAGTGCAAATGGAAAGGTGACAATAGCAGTGTCAGTTCCCTATGTACCAGCCCAGATGGAAAGATGTTGCTTTCAGCTGGTCGAACAATCGAACTATGGGTTTTGGACACCAAAGAAGTCTACAGACATTTCACAGGACATGCGACGACAGTTTTGTCACTTATGTTCACCACTATCAGACCTCCTAATGAGAGCCAGCCCTCTGATGGAATTACAGGTCTTTATTTCTTATCTGGAGCAGCTCATGACCGGTTACTTAATGTCTGGCAGGTCCTATCAGAAAACAAAGAAAAGAGTGCAGTGATGTCATTTACAGTTACGGATGAGCCTGTCTACATTGACTTAACTTTGTCAGAAAACAAAGAAGAGCCTGTCAAGTTGGCTATTGTTTGCAGAGATGGTCAAGTCCATCTTTTTGAACATATATTAAATGAGTACTGCAAAAAGCCTTTGACTTCAAACTGCACAATTCAGATAGCAGCACCCGGGAAAGGCAAGAAATCAGTACCAAAACCCATCCCTATTCTAGCTGCTGGTTTTTGCTCAGACAAAATGTCATTGTTGCTTGTACATGGCAGTTGGTTTCAGCCTACTATTGAGCAAGTGGCTTTAAACTCCAAAGAACTTCATATGTGTTTAGTAAGAGGTATTTCAAACTGCTGGGCCCCCAAAGTAGAAAGAGCTATAACAAAGGTGAGGACGCTAGTGATGAATTTTGAAGCAAAAGTTCTGGTGCCTGGGATTCATGCAACTATCAGGCCTGCTCCTCCACAAACCGAGCAAGTAGAGAGCAAGAGGAAATCAGGGGAAAATGAGGTTAGCACTGAAGAACGCCTGGGAGCAATGGATATAGACATACACAAAAAAGGAAAGGATGACCTTCAGATGAATGCTTTCCAGTCTTCTTACCCAGGGCTTAGAAAGTAGCGATTTTGAAATGCTAAATAAAGTACTTCAAACTAGGAATTTAAATCTTATAAAGAAGACTGTATTAAGGATGCCCTTGCATACTGTTATTCCATTGTTGCAAGAGCTAAGAAAGAGGTTACAAGGACATCCTAATAGTGCTGTGCTAATGGTTCAGTAGCTAAAATGTGTGTTAACAGTTTATGCATCATACCTGTCCATGTTGCCTGACCTGGTACCCCAGCTGGGGACACTCTAGAGCTTCTGCACAGCAAAAGAAACAGTTATTAGAGTAAACTGGCAACCAACAGAACAGGAAAAAATTTCCACAATCTACCCATCAGACAAAGGGCTAATACCCAGAATCTACAAAGAACTAAAGCAGATTTACAGGAAAAAAAACAAACAAACCCATTCAAAAGTGGGCGAAGGATATGAACAGACACTTTTCAAAAGAAGGCAAATATGCAGCCAACAAACATGAAAAAATGCTCACCATCATTGGTCATTAGAGAAATGCAAATCAAAACCACATTGAAATACCATCTCACGCCAGTTAGAATGGTGATCATTAAAAAATCTGGAGATAACAGATGCTGGAGAGGATGTGGAGAAAAAGGAACACTTTTACACTGTTGGTGGGAGTGTAAATTAGTTCAACCATTGTGGAAGACAATGTGGCAATTTCTCAAGGATCTAGAAATAGAAATTCCATTTGACCCAGCAATCTCATTACTGGGTATATACCCAAAGGATTATAAATCATTCTATCATAAAGACACATGCACACGTATGTTCATTGCGGCACTGTTTACAATAGCAAAGACCTGGAACCAACCCAAATGCCCATTGATGACAGACTGGACAAGGAAAATGTGGCACATATACACCATGGAATACTATGCAGCCACAAAAAACGATGAGTTCGTGTCCTTTGTAGAGACATAGACGAACCTAGAAACCATCATTCTCAGCAAACTGACACAAAAACAGAAAACCAAACACCACATGTTTTCACTAATAGGCGGGTGATGAACTATGAGAACACTTGGGCACAGGGAAGGGAACAACACCCACAGGACTAGGTGGGGGGGGTGAAGGGGAGGGGAGGAGGAGCAGGGAGGAGGGGGAGGGATAACACTGGGAGAAATGCCTTATGTAGGCAACGGGAGGGCGGGGGATGGAGGCAGCAAACCACCATGGCATGTATGTACCTATGCAACAATCCTGCAGGATGCAGGACGTGCACATGTACCCCAGAGCCGAAATACAATAATAAATAAATAAATAAATAAATAAAAATTGGCAAACCACTAAGAAAAAAGAAGACTCAAATTAAAATCAGAAATAAAAGAAAGGACATTACTATCAAGATCAGTATAGCAGGGAACTTCCCCAACTTGATAAAGGGCAGCTACAAAAATCCCACAGCTAACATCATACTTAATGGTCAAAGACTGAATCATTTCCCTATAAGATCAGGAACAAGACAAGAACGTCCACTCTGTCATTTCTTTTCCACATAATCCTAGAGGTTCTGTGTAGGGTAATTAGACAAGGACATGTACAATCCAAATGGAATTTTTTTCATTTTTAATTTTTTGTGGGTACATAGTAGGCTTATATATTTATGGGGTACATGAGATGTTTTGATACAGGCATGCAGTATGAAATAATCACATCACAGACCATCCATATAGAAAAGAAGAAAGAAAAGATATCTGTCTTTGCATATGACATAGTCTAGTATACAGAAAATCCTATTAGAACAAATAAATGAATGTAGCAAGGTTACATGGTACAAGATCAATGTATAACAATAATTGTATTCCTATAAACTAACATGAAGTTAAGTGAAAAAAATCCATTTACAATTGCATGAAAATGATAAAATTCTTAGGAATAAACTTAAGAAATGAAAAAAATTTTATTCTGAAAAACTACAAAACATTGTTGAAATAATTTAGAGAAAACCTAACTAAATAACATTGCTAAGATAATAATGCTCCCCTAATTTTTCTGCATCTTCAAGGCAATCCTTATAAAAATTTCAACTGCCTTCTTTTCAGAAATGGAAAAACTGACCCTAAAACTAACATGGAATTTATACAGAATTGGAAGGAATCCCAAAAGCCAAAATAATATTGAGGGAACAAAGCTGAAAGATTTACACTTCCCAATTTCAAAATTTGCTATAAACCTACAATAATCAAATCAGTGTGGTGCTGGCAAAAGGACAGATGTGTAGATCAATGGGACAGAATTGAGATTACAAAAATAAACCCATACATCTATAGTGAATTGATTTTTGACAAAGGTGCAAAGGACATTCATTGAGGGAAGTAAAATTCTTTCAATAAACACTGCTGGGACAACTGGATACCCATATGCAAATAAGCTTGGACCTCTTCCACACACTATACATAGAAATTCTTTAAAAGGATCAAAGACTAAACACAAGAACCCAAACTATAAAATTCCTAGAAGAAAACAGAAGTAAATATTCTTAGGCTGGGTGCAGTGGCTCACACCTGTAATCCCAGCACTTTGGGAGGCCCAGGTGGAGCAGATCACTTGTGGTCAGGAGTTCAAGACCAGCCTGGACAACACGGTGAAACCCTGTCTCTACTAAAAATACAAAAATTAGCTGGACATGGTGGCGTGCGCCTGTAATCCCAGCTACTCAGGAGGCTGACGCAGGAGAATCGCTTGAACCCAGGAGGCGGAGGCTGCAATAAGCCGAGATCACGCCACTGAACTCCAGCCTGGGTGACACAGCGAGACTCTGTCTCAAAAAAATGAATAAATAAATAAATATTCTTAACCTTTGTTTAGTCAAAGCCGTCTTAGAAATGATACCATAAGTAAAACTGACAAAAAAAGGAGATTAAAAACAATTTTGTCAAAATTATAAAAGTTTTTGCTTCAAAGAACACTACCAAGAAAGTGAAAAGACAACCTACAGGATGGGAAAATGTATTTGTAAATCGTATACCTGATAAGGGACTCATATCAAGAATATATAAAGAATTCTTATAACTTACTAGGAAGCAAATAATAAAATTTTAAATGGGCAAAAGATTTTAATAGACATTATTCAAAATATATATCTTTGTATGGGCTTATTGTGTGTATATATATATATATATATATATATATATATATGTGCTCAACATCAATAATAATCAGGAAAATGAGAAGAAAATCAAAACCACAATGAAATACCACTTCACACACCTTAGATAGCTATAATCAAGACAGATAATAACAAGTATTATTGAGGATATGGAGAAATAGAAATTCTCACACATTGCTAGTGGGGATGCAAAATGGAGCAACCACTTTATAAAAGTCTGGCAGTTCCTAAACAGAGTAAACATATGATCCAACAATTCCACTCTTAGGTATATACCCTAACAAAATAGAAACATGTCTACATAAAAATCTGCACATGAATGTTCATAGCATCATTATTTATAAGGGTCAAAAAAGTATAAAACAACCTAAATGTCCATGAAAAAAATGAACTGATAAACAAACTGTAGTCTATGCATACAATATAATATTATTTGGCAATAAAGAGGAATGAAGTACCAACTTACGCTACAACATGGATGAACCTTGAAGACATTAAGCTAAGTGAAAGAAGTCAGACACATAATACCACAAGTTGCATGATTTTACTTCTATGAAATGTTCAGAATAGACAAACCTATAATGACAACAAGTAGACTGATGGTTGCCTAGGGCTGGGGGTGCTGGGGTGCCATGGAACGTGACAGTAAAGAGACATGAGGTTTCTTTCGGGGTTGATAAAAATCTTCTAAAATTGATTTTTGTGATGCTTGCATGACTGTAAGTACTCTTAAATTACCGAAAACTTTAAATGGGTAAAATGTATGGTATGTAAATTATATCTCAATGACGCTGTTAAAAAAAAAAAATCAGTGCAATGAAGTAAAAAGTGGGAAGACCATTCTGTCAAGAACTGTGACGGGCCTGAGACTTTTCTCTGCTTGAAATTTAGCAAGTTAGTCTTGCCATAGTTTTATAGACACCGGCAAAAGCTACAAGACTTCTTAATCAGAGACAACAACTAATTTATTACTTACAATAATAGCTGGGGTTTCCCCAAGCTCCAATTCCCACAAGGTGATGTAAAGCAGACAAGGTGATGACTTGACATTCAGTGCAATAGGTTATAGGAGACAAACTGGGTGTTTAGGGAATCCATATATTTTATAGTGGGGCAGTAAGCTTGCTTTACCTTTTCCAAGAGATATTATTAATATCTTTAATGTACTAGAAGGTAAACAAACCTGGCCTTTCCTCCAAAGGGAGATACTATCTCTATTTTCCAAGTCTTTCATTATAACACATCTTTGAAAAGACAGTTGAGAACAATGACAATGCCTCTCTTCTCAGGATGTACAGAGACACGAAAGATCCATGGAAAATTTTCCTCTAATGCATTCTAGATATTTAAATTTGTAAGAGAATAAATAAATGCAGTACATGAACAGCTATGAAAGGCTTTTTTGGAACATTAAAGAAATTTGGTTATTACTTGAATATTAAATGACACTTAAGGATTGCTGTTGATTTTCTTAACTATGATGATGTCATGTTTATATTTCCTTAGGTGAGGCATGACGCATGCTGAGGTATTTATGCATATAAAGTGTCATGATGTCTGCAACTTACTTTTAAATGCCTTAGCAAAATATGTATACACACACACATATACTTACATAATCATTAAACACATGCATACACATAGATACTCTGGAGAGCAAGAGACATAAAGCAAATATGGCAAAATATTAACAAGTGTTGGCTCTAGATGAATATATAGTGATGTTCATTATATCTTCTTTAAATTTTTTGAAAATCTGGTTACTAAAAAGTTAGGTAAGTACATCGAGAAAATTCTAGAGACAAATACTCTCAGACTGCAAAAACACAGTTACATAGAAAGGTTGGAATTAAAGATTTTTAAAGTTATACACAAATAATAAAGGAAGCTAGTATAGCCGTATTAATTTCAGTCAAAGTAGACTTTAAGGCATAAGTATTGTGAACACCTTGGCAAACACCAAAACAAGGCCACTTCAGAATGATAAAAGGTTTGGTTCACAAGGAAGATACTAAGATAAAGCCCTCAAATTGAAATAAACAAATCCAAAATTATAGTTGGAGATTTTAAACAGAACTCTAATCGCTGATTGAACAGGTAAACAAAATTTAAGAACGTAGAAA